TGAAGCCGGATAAATATTGATAAAGCTCGACGCCACATGAGGTAATGTTTCGGATGGAAGAGAATCGTTCGCTATGACCTGCTCTACGCTGGCCAATTCCAATTGATTGATTAAATTTTTTACTGTCAACAATAAATTCCGTAGAAAAGGTGTCACTGTTCGTCACGACAATTGTAGTCCACATGTACGGACTTTATTAATAACCCTCCATGCATTCAGAAAGTTCGGTTGGGAAGCTTTGTTATGTTCGCCGTACAGCGCACTACTTGAATACCATTTTTTTCGCTTCCTGCAAAACGATCTTAGTGCAAGTGAGCTGATTTAATCCGGCGATTGCTCGACGGACTGACTAAGGCTGCCCGATAAGGCCTTTGTATTTGCGAAACCGATTGGAGAGAAGTTAAATTTATTTCCTTGTGCGACATGTTATTAATTATAATTAATTATACTTAATTGCAGTGTAGTCATTTCCCCATCCCGTTTGTATAAAAGACATCAATTAGGCTTAAATTCGTTTATTACTTTTATTAACACTGAACAGATCGGTTTACGAAGCATAACATGTCGTTAGAGTAATTTAGAATCGCTTTCTGCATCCAATTAAGCTTGTTTGGCTGTGTATTCGTCTGATGTATCTTCATCCTGTTCTGTTTTAACCCAAGGATGAACGCTATTGTCCACAGAAACACCTCCGTCTGATTTGATTTTTGCCAGTCCGTTTGTCTGCTTCTCTGTTCCTTTTTATTTCCCTTGGTTCGCACTATTGGTCCAAATTTTTAAGATATTTCGATGAAATTTAGAACACTAATGTGTTTTGGTACAAGGATGAACACCATAAAACTATTTCGGAACGAACCACTTTTCCTGTGGTTGCATGAAAAACCTTACAATTTTGCGAAATTCCTTGACAAAAATTGCTTATTGATAACATTCATCGTTCTAAGTAAACGTGAACACGGTGTAGCAAGGATCATCACGATTCTCAAAACTCACGAATTACACGTTGAACACACGAAAACAAGACGGACAGACGGATCGACAAGCTCAGAGTCATTTTCTGAATAAACTGGTGTAATAAAAGGTGAGACGAGTCTATCACAAGTCCTTCGGAGTGTTCCATACATCCGCACAGTTATGTATAAAAATTGGAATGTTTGGTCGACGCGACTTATACAGTAAGAAAGACTTCGATGGCTGTTAACATTTAAAATTTTTTTCCTCGGAAGCTTTATTAAATGAAACTAAGTGAAAAGTTTTTTTTAAGTTAACATTCCATGTAAAATGCATTTATTGTTAGTTTCTTTCTTTCATGTATATATACATGTATATGTATATAATTATTTTTTCTATTATAAATAGTTGTTGTTATTTTTAATTATATAATTTTACTGAATTAATTAAATAATTTATGATTTTTTTTTATTTCATATGATTTTACTTAAAATTTAAAAAGTTCTCTTTCAATTTTTTTGTTTTTATCAATATACAGAACACGCACTTACCCATACACACAAACACACACAACACGTATTATCCATACGCTTTGTTTACTTATGCTTTGCATTATGTGCGCAGGTAAGTAAGCATGTGAAAATAATGTCATTTTTTGTTTTTGTTTTTTTTAATGGTATTAATTATGTTTCATATAAGCGAGTGTGCGCTTGTATAAACGTGTATTCATTCGGTTTATTTGCTTTACTACATTAATTAAATATGAATTTAATTGTTAATTAATATATATTATCATTATTATAAATACACGTACTCAGAATACAGATAAGAGTTTGTTCGTATGTGTTTTTGCGTGTATGTATGGCTTTATATACTGTTTATTTTTCTTACACTCTTAGTTTGATGGATATCTTTTGAAAAAAAAAACAATGAGTTAATATATCAATATTACAACATTTATATATATACATATAGTAATATATATATATATATATACGATAAATATTTACATTAACTTTAACATATTTTTTTCTATTTTTTTATTGGTTAAATGAAAGTTTAAAAAATTGATTATTAATCAGTCTATAGTGAATATGAAATTCAAATTTTATTTAAAAAACAACAACGATGAGAGAAAGTTAAGTTCGCTTTAAAGCGAAGGTCGGAGGGAGGCACCACCTGAAATGATTGCAAAAAGTTAAAGGGTTTCGCACCGCGGGAACCTTATCAGGATTATTATTGAAACACAGTATGGCAATATTAGAAAATTAAATTTTGGAAATCTTTGAAAGAGAGGAGGAAGAAGAAAACTTTAAAGAATGTTTCCTATGCCACGTCATAGCTTGAAAGAAAGCTGGTCCGATCCGAACAATTTTGAATGGCATCAGTCCTTGGTATTGTGTACCGTATTCCAAGAAAATAAAATGGACAGGCGGACGGACAAGTTTAAATCGATTCAGAAAACGATTCAGAAGATGATTATGAATCGATCGGTATAAAAAAATTGCGTCCGTCGTAACTACTACTAGGCATCGTATACATGCACACAAATTTAATATACCAGAGAGAGACAGAGAGAGAGAGAGAGAGATTTAGAGACACTAAGTAAGCGCACAGTAGAACTACCTTCTTACAAGAAATATGTTTTAGGCAACGGCTTCAAAATAATGTAATTTCCACTGAATGCGTGTATTGCGGATTCGAATTTTCTTACCAAAGCTTGAGATCGGTAGTTGATGTGACTGCTATCTTTTATGTTGCTTTATGACGAAGGCTTTATACCCCAAATTCTTATTTTATATCTAACGATATCGTGACGTGCTTAAATAATTTTCGGATTTTAAAGAGGTATATGTACAATGAAGAGATAAATGTAGCATACTCTTTTGAGTTGGATTATAAGGATTTAGAATGGAAAGAATTTTTGTTCAATGCCTTTAATTTTGCAAGGAATTTTTTTTGGATTTTTTAAAGAGCGTTAAGTCATTTATTGTATCTATAATTATCCATCTAAAAAGTATTGAACGAAATTTCAACGTCTTGACGGCTCAATACTTTTAGATGCCTTTGTGTATATACATATGTATGTATATGTAACATAAATATATAACGGTTGTACAAACACAGTGACGTTATTGTACAAAAAAATAAAAAAAAAGGCAAGGAAAGATTGGGAGGAACACATTTCGTATTTACAAAGAGGTTCTAGTGAAGGCGACCAGAGATTTGGATGATTGATTGATTACAAGGCTTAAGAGAAGAAAACCGTAACGCTCAGTGTTTCCACTAAAGGTTACAGCGGGAATTTGGTAATTCATTTTAACTACTTGTCGTTATAATACTTCTTAGTTAAGAAAAAAGTTCTACCACAGCTATATAAACATGAATTAATTGAAAAAAAAAAAAATAAAATCGATTATACGATGAAATATGTTTATCACAGGTACATTTTTTTTTTTTTAAATATAGTTTAAACACCTAACTTAGTAAAATGCTTTGTATGTATATTCGTGTAATTATCGTTTATATTATCGAATTGAGATTTTTCTAAAAGCTAAACGTAGTTTACTTATTCATTACATATCGTATTTTATATACTTTAATGTGTATTAAGTTTTTCCTTTCTTTTCATATATTACACTGTTACAAATATTTTTCTTATTTCAGTTTAGTTTTAGAGAAATATGACACTAACCATGCGATGTATATCTAAAAATGTTCTTAATCTCAAATTCTAATTTTAGAAAAAATTTCCAAAGAACTGCTTTATGATTTTCGTTATTCTTTTACGTATTTTTGTTGCCAATAATTTGTTGAATTTTAATTTTATTTTTTTTTTTTCTTACTTGATTTAATATTTCATTTGTGTGTGTCTCCATTATCTGATGATTGTGAGGAAATTCGTTTATCAAAAATATTTTTTTCTTTCTTTCATTTCGTATTTATGTTTTAAATATTTGAATAAAATTTACCCTGCCATCAACTCTCTACAGTCAATTTATTGTAATCTATCCGCGCTGTGCATATTTACAAATAGGCAGCCAGGGGGTGTAACCATTTACTCTTGTCTTCGTATTGCGACATTCTGTGATTTAAATGAGAGAATACAAAGCTGGTCACGAGACCAGCTCTTCTCAAAAACTTTCTTAATTACAAACACAGTTCATTTTGTTGAGTTTTTGTCTTGTTTTTTGCGTTTTTTTTTTTTTGCTTTGTTTTTTTTTTGCTTTGTTTTTTTATAAAATGTAATTAAACAATTCTTGATTAAACCTATTATATATAAAAATTGCAGTTTTTGCATTTTCTCTTGCTTTTTTACAGTTTCTTCAAACAAGCTATGGCACAAGTTTTTTTTTTTTACATTATTTTAAATACATTACACACGTACACGAATTTGGGGGCGTTATTTAAAATGAAGATTCTTAGAAAAGAAAGGAGAAGAAAGGTTCAGTTTTCGAACTAAATATCACAACAGAAAAACATAATTGAATTTAAAATTTTGATTGAAGGTCATGGCAGAAGCTTTGCATTATAAGAAATTGCTTCTTTGTGACGTTGGCAAACAATTGATTAGCATTGATCGAGCGGCTTTTAACATATACTTAGTAATTCCAGAGAATTGCAACTTTTAGGCAAAGAAGAAAATTAAGTAGAATTTCTACGGAACATTCTCTTCCCTTCAGAAGGTTCAGAAAAGTCCTCCTTTGAAAAGTTTGCTTTTGCTTGTTAGCACCAAACAAAGTTGCCCAACTTAAATCCAACTTTAAAAAACGTTTTTTAGAATACGATTGATTTAAGTTCAAAAATTTTATACCGATCACTCGCTTGTCGCAACTCCGGTAAGGATTGCATTATTTGCTTGATAGATGCAGAATCATGAATTGAAAAACTTTAAGCTCTACTGGGTTGTTCGGAAACCCGTTACGCTTGTTTTTTTCTTTTAAGGAGAATGTTATTGCAATTTCTCACAGCCAATTTCACACTTAGGCCGCATTGCCGGTACATATGTTGATATGTGATGATATATAGCGGGGCTTGTTTATGAAAAGATTTATTTAATTGTAAGCAATAGTATTTGCTTGATTCATGATCACGTAAAACCCCTCTGCCCTTTTAACTTGAACAAAAAAAAAAACAAAGTAATTTTCCGAACAACCCAATATATATATATATGCAGGGAGCATGACAAGACGATCAAATGATGCATCAACAAGAATTTTTTGCAAACTAATCTCAAATCTAATTTAAGTTATATCTTGAGATAATGGTTTCCCCTTAAATTACAAAACAGGACGATTATCCCTCCCTCCCTAGTAGGTAATATATGTTCAGCTTTGATGTATGTGAGAGTTGGTTAAAACGTTTCCGACATAAGAAAGAATTGATGCATTTTATCTTGAAACTTTTTTTTTATTTTTTGCAATCAATGCCGCTCAATTAAGCTATCCAAAGTTTCGCCGTGATAAATCACAGTGTGGAGTTTTCCTAGCCAGCGGTCAGCTTGTCTTTAAATTGTGTGAGCGTATTTGCTTCTTAAAACAAATATTTAATAACAATCCACAATACACAATTTTTCTACACTCGCATCAATTGACACAAACAAGTTTGAAGCAATAACAAAAGGCTGAAATTTCTGATAAGTTCTTATCGATGACTGCAAAAACACATTCTCATATATTTGCTGAATCGAGTAATCCATTTCAAACTGAGGGCTGACTTCAAAGCCCGCCTTGTAAGGACCAACTGGGTGCTAAGGCTACATCTTTCTTTAGGTAAAATGTTTACCGCAATACCTTCACTTTACCTCCCGATCAAATATTTTATGAAATCTTTGAAAAACGGTGACATTTATCATAATGTATGCAAAACATCGTACGCTTAAAGAAAGCGGAATAAATTGTATGTAACTTTTTTTTAAAACACGGGCGTCACAAACTCATTATGGAAACATGTACGCTTAATCAACGTTTGGCGGATTTGCTCAAGTTTCCAACTTAATCTACCGAGGTCGAAAAGGATCAAAAATTTTTTCGCGGTGTTCTTCGTCTTCGAGCAGAAGCCTTTTAGGATTAGTTTAAGCAAGCGCAGACGTATAACACACAAAAGAACATAACAGCAGGTAACTGCGATGAATACGTGGCATACTTTCAAGGGGTTCAAATATTTGAAAAAATTAATATTTTATATAGTGATTGAACAAATAATAATAATAATAATAGGCGCACGTTTTTTATTCATTGCTTGAGAAATTTTTCAACTTCTAAGAAAGTGATAATTTCGAAATAATTTAATCCTTTTAAACAGACATTAAAACCAGCAACTTATAAATGTTCTTCCATCAAAGGGGGCAGAAAGGGAAAATATTTCTTTTCGTAAGCATTTGTTGTTATTGTGTGCGTGTCTTTTTAAAATTAGGGATTATTGTAGGCGCCGTTAAAAAAACGTAAATATACTTGATGTTTAAAAAGAAAGATTTGCCGTGAACACGCCACGAATACATGAAAACTCCTTAAATTCTTATAGTTTTGTTGCAGTTACTCTGTCTTAATATTATCTTTTTTTTTTATGCAAAGTTTTTTTTAATTTGTTACAACCGCCACCTAGGGAACGAGGCATGTCAATTTCGTTATTGTTATGCAAATAGGCGAAAAAAACAACAGTTACATTTTCTAAAAAATTTAAAAATGAAAATGTTAATCTTCTCAATAAATATGGCGAAAGTTTCTGAAAGCTTAGGACTATTTAGACTACCTAGTATTGAATTTCATTTTCTACCCAATCAACTAGCAGTTGGCGTTCGTTGTTCTCATAATAATAAGAACATAGATATTTGATACTGAAAACGGTCTTCAAGGTGTTAGATACTTAATATTCGCACAAAAGACGAATAAAGTCCTCCTCTTATTAATATTATTATTATTTTTTTTTTTTTTGCTATTAGTTTTCACTATTTCGATGCCTACGAAAAAATTTCAATCGTTTTTTTTTTCTCTCATATTTACAAGAAATTGGTTTCGTTTATAAGTGAATAAATTAATATATTTACTCAGTTGCGTTTGTTGCAAGGTTCTATAAATGCTAAAAAAAACTCACTATAACACTAATAGTAAAATGACACTTACATGAGATTTTTCATTTTTTTCTTTTGTGTTTTTGTTTAAAATTTACATGATGCTATAAATTGCAGACTGTGGTAACACTAAAAGTATATGACAACGTCAGTTACTAAGCCGCCGCCACCATGAACACCTCCACTACACGGTCCATATCAATTGTTTTGTGTTACTAATTTAGCCGTCGTTATAGGCTCACCTGCTTCGGCGTACAAACACGAGCCTTCACTGCACGAACATGTATCACCTTCGCGTGAACTGCTACAGCATTCACTGCAATTGCGTGGCTCTCCCAGAACTTCGTAAGTGCAAGAACCACTGGAACTTTTTAGCATATGTTCACTTTCACTGATTTCAGCGAAACGTGTGCTGTCGGTTGGCTTGTGACAACGGTGCGTTAATGGTTTGCCAGTAGGGCCACCTTCTTGACTGCTCTCGGAACGTAGGGTATCATTTGCGTTCAGATGGCTATGATGATGTGCGGCGGCATGCGTATGATGATGGGGATGACCATGCGTTACATTAGAATGAGAGTGTCGTGAATGATCGGAACACTCGGAGGAACATTGATAGATTTGATGAGCTGATGAATTGTTTGGTATATGTGCGGCATGCAATGGTTGATACCAGCCTTCAACGTGTGGCGGCAATTGCTGCAAAGGTGAAGCCAAAGCATCACAACTAGTGCAGCCACTGCGGAGGAGGTAAACCGATGTAAAGAAACCAAGAGGAGGACAAATTAAAGAAACTTCTAAAAAATGCGCATCTCTCGAAAGTGTAATTCTTTTTCATTACGACAGTGTGTTCTTTTTACACTTTTTGAGGTTATGTGTCTTGACATATCCTCGAGATCTTTTGACATTTGAAATTGTTGAAGAGCCGCAGCTAAATTGAAGAGCGCAATGTGTTTGCAAGAGGTGCTAAATATTATTTTTAAACTTCACGGTTAGTTGGACAACCTTAGGCATTCTTGAGTCAATTTACGTTCGTTACATTCGTCTCATAACCATAGAATTAATATCTTATCAAAAACTGCATTTAATTTGTACCTCTGTTCTCTATAACTTCCCTATTAATGGTATGGAAAAGAAAATATTTTTTGTCTACGCTGGCGTCGCCGATATCATGTGCTCTTTTTGGGCTATCAATTTGTGATGTATTTGACGATAAGCTGTTCTTAGTTGTAGAACTTAAGGAGCCGCTACGGCTTTCCTGAAAATCAAGACCTTTAAATCCGACGAAGCTAGCAATTCGAATTCTAACACGAAATGCCCTTAAATCTACGAAAACCAGCGCTTGGTAAGTAACTGATTGCATGTTTGGACCCTATCCGGCTAGTTTTGGCTAGCCTATTTATAAAGAATTTAACGTTTAAGTTCGTGGCAGATGGTTCTATTAAAATAACACTGTCACCGGAAGAGTCATTAAGTGCGAAGTTCAGTGAGTCAGAGCTTTAATAAGAAACTTTGTGAAGCTGAGTGATAACTTACCGGCCATTTGAGCAACGAGAGTTGTGTGTACCACCCGGTTGATATTCACTCAGGGCATGCCTAGGCGCTGGATAATGGATATGTATATTTCTAGGCGGTAATTGCGCTGTTGCTGCCGCTCCTGTTGGATAATAAGGTGGTAAAGGGGGAGGATGTTGTCCCGTAGGAGTTACTTGATAACGATTTTGACCACCCCCGCCTACACAAGGCAAAGGGTTATTATAGTAATTCTCTTGCGTAGGACGTCCACTACCTGCGCCTCCCACAACACATTGGGGGGCCATACCCCAAGTTGAGAAACCACCCGACGAGCTGCTGTGTATAGAAGAGTTTAAGGCGCTTTATAACCAAAAAGAAAAAGAAAATGGTATAAGAAAAGAAAGCAAACAAAAAAGAAAACAAAAACAAAGCTTAACTACCTTTGATGTGCTGAAGAGCTGCCACTTTTCGAACTTTTCCTCGATGATTGTGGTGAGCCCGGTCCGTAATTACATGAGGGCACTGGTGGCGGATGTTCCGGTGGTGGTGGCAAAAATTCTGACCAATTAATTTGTTCTGTTAGTTTTAATTATTGGTAACAAAAACGTCAGCAGTAAGGTAAGCGGGGCGGGAGCAAAAGAAAAAAACATTCAAGGAAATCAAAGGTTAAAGATATTCAAAGTTACTTAAAAATTATATCAAAAGTACAGCACAACGTTTCTACGGTTTAAAACTCTCTATCAGTAAATTTAATTAAATATTATTATACGAAAAAAATTGTTCAAATATTTTAAATTCTTTTGTAAGCATAAATTTTTCTGTCTTGACTTTGTTCTATAGCCGGGGAAAATGTGTTAAATATGCTTTGTTATGCTTGACATTGAGTACATGGCCTACGGGTGATTAGGGTTTTTTGTGCTTGATTTCGTCTCAAAGAAAATCTATTTTGCATTACCATCCACCAAAAGTTTGCAAATACACACACACACACACACACACACACACACACACACACACACACACGACAACAACGCATAGAAAGCAGATAATCTCGATTTATTCTTGTCGTACAACAATGTATAACGAACGTGGTTACATAATAATAACTCACGACATCACAAACATCACTTGAGAATCTAAACAGGAAACACTTGAAAAATACACGCCTCAAGTAATTGAACTTTTAATATTACACAAAACTGTATAAATGGAGGAAATTCCGTATGTCTCTCATAAGGAAGAAGAAAAACGAGACTCTTCTTTTACTTTTCAAATGTTTACGAAGAGTCTGCAGGGTTGAAAAAATATCCTTAAGATTATTACAAAAAGAAATCTAACGTTTTAAGCAGCTGTCGATAGCAATCATTTGTTTTAATGCCAAAATCGTATTAAGAAAAAAAGCGGAACGAAAACTTATACCATACAGATCATATCATGGCTAAGGATACACAGCATTAAAGACGACAAACAATAAAGCAATGAAAGAAGGAAAGACAGGAAGAAAAAGCATTCGTCAAGTCCTATAAAATTCAAGTAAACGTTCTTAAGCTTAAAATCAATTGACTGCAAAAACAATTTCACTAGAGCTTATAGGAAACTTATAGTTAACTTGAAGAGAACTACGAAGATATGCATCTCATCCACCCTAACTTTTTACGGGATTTTATAAAAATTCGGGTCGGATTTCTTTTTTATTTTTTTCGATCGGTAGTTCAGTGTAAGTGCTTCTCGAGTTACTGTAACCCTATTCGTAAAAGAATCACAAATTCTCCATTCCACTTAGCACCCAATGGAGGGCGCCGGTCACGACGCGGATAATCAGCTCTACGGAGCAGTGAATTAGGTTGAATGACTTCTCCCTCGCGATTCCGGGAGTTCGTTATAACAAATAAGAGACCGATGGAAAAACATAGATATAAAGACTGAGAGTTAGGGAATGAGGTATAACAACATTTGTCACAAGAATATATAGATCTATATGAGTGATCCAGTATTGGTAACAATCAAAGTGACATATTTAGTGCATTCTAATAATTTAGTAGCAACTACTAAAACTAAAAAAACTAAAGAGAAAAAAGCTTTAGTTTTTCTGCGCCGTACGTTTTCAATGAAAAATTAAAAATCTCTTATATCAAAAAAAAAAAAAAATCAACAGGACAACAAAGGGCAAACGTAAAGTTTAAAGAAATCCAAGAGCAGTAAGTTTTTTATGGCATCTAAAGGAAATGAAAGGAAAATCAAGTTTTGGTAGAAAAAGGGTTAGGAAAACTAAATGTGACGAAAAAATAGAGAGTGAGACAGGGAGAGAGGGCGAAAGAAGAAAATCTTTAAAATTGATACAAACCTGGTGGATATTGATGATAATTGTGTTTACTGGAGACGGCACTATTCGATGCACAGACATTGGTTGTAATACCCTCTGAATTGGGTGAATGAGTACCTGAATCCTGATCAGTACTAGAGCCAGAAGTTTTCAAACACGTCGTCTCCGTGGAAGAAGTACCGATAATCATAGTAGTAGCATAAGGTGTAGGATTTTCCGGGCTCTGAAAGCGAAAGCATTTCATTGCCATTCTTTTTTCTTTCATCACGAGAGTATCTCAATTTACCTTTCGACAATTGTAAAAAGTGCTCATGTTTCTGGTATCGACTTCGGCATAATCCGTACCGGCATCCGAGGTATAATTCGATTGGCTGTTGGCATTTGATAGTAATTTCGTTTCACTTAGACCAGAATCTTTATCGGTATCGGTGGTACGCCAGCCTCTGTCAATCCATAAGCTATCCTTGCCGTTGATATTCAATGCTGTTATTTCATTGGCGCTAACTACTAAACTCATACGATATCGAACAAAAAGAAAGTAGAAAAACCGGACAAGAAAAAAGAAAAAACCATATGACGAATAAAATACTTGATAAGAATCTTTTTCTCATTTTTCTTTCCTTTTTTTTTCTGTATTATTTTTTTTGTGTATTGAAGTTAATTAAGGAGTATTCTGCTCGCGCTCGCATAAAGTTCTCAATATATATTGTAGCACACACAACAGGAAGTCATTAAAGTATCAATTTTCTAAATAGTGTCTATCACTGATACGTACGTCAAATTTAATTGATTTGCTAACGCTCGCGAATGCTGCCCAAGCTAATTGAAAGCAATTTATAGTTGAATCGATTACCAAGTGATTTTTGGTAAATAAATTAAAAGCTCTGGAAGCTATTGCGCAAAAAGGTGGGAGCAGTAACGGGTTAGTTGCTTTTAATTGCTGTGAAAATTCGCCGTCAGTCACGTTCAACCTCTTAGCCTAAAATTCATCATTAGCAGAAAATAATAAAGTCAAGGCGGGAGGTTAAGAAGAGTTGAAATTATGTCTCAATTAGTAATGAACTGTATGTTAAAAGTAACGAGGTTTCTACCTGTCAACTATGAGAACCAAAGTCGATGCGCGTTTACTCCGCTTGGTGAAGCACGGTAACCTCAACCCCGACACACAAGGCACAGACGTCTGATATCATTCGAAAATCAAACATATGACTTCGAACAACGTCCGGGGATTGGCTGGCAATGCCGTCGTTTTGGCAGAAAATCTTAGGAATCTTCCATTTTCTTTTGTGTCTTTCTTTTAGCTTTGCATTTCAACTTAAGCTGAAATATGTTTACTAAACGCTTAGCTTGTATTATAATTATAAGTAAAGGCATTCACGTGTACGCACAACAGCAATTTCGGTAGAAAACCGATAAAAATTTGTATCACACTAACGCACCTCGATGCACTTTGCGCAAAAATCATGAAGTAAGTAAGTTCAAAATAATTTCACAGATTTGGTTAAAAAAAACCTTTTACTAAAAGTTGACTTAAATCAATGTTTAATGAAAAGGAAAAGTCATCAGTTTTGATAAAGAAAGTTAAAGGTTTGAGATGAGCATTACTGCTAGCAATATAAAGATTTCATGAGCAGCTTATTCGATATTTTAAGACACTCCAACAAAGGCAAGGACTTTCAGGGCCTTTAGAGCAGCTCGATTGTTGGAGTTAATGCAGTTTAGCTGTCTCCTGCTGAGTATGTTCTTTGAATAGTGCTCTTAATGCGTTTAGTGCTCTTAACGCGTTAACAGGAGACAGAAACGAAAGATATAAAGGTAAAATTAGAGCTCCATCCGACCTAAATGCATTCATTACAAATCATTCTTAAGAACGCACACGCAGTTAGTCAATTGTCCAAGAAAACGCTTTGGTTTACGAGCTAAACTCCAATGATTTTCATGCTCTACGCTGAAGCATGAACTTTGGATATTACATGGATAAAACGGCCATCACAATTTGCAAAGTATTAGCTTTTAAATCGTATCTAAATCTGATCGGTTAATTGAAAAAGCGAACGAAGCAAAATGCTGTAATGGCGCTTAGGCCATATGAAGGAAATATAATGTAATAAAAAAAAAAAAAAGGAAAAAGTTGTATGGGAGGGATTAATTCGAAATTTTATACAAACTTTGCCTTAATGCAATCTAGCGTATGGTGTTACCGTTATTCTTTGGCAAAGCTTAGGTTCACTTACCACTCAAATGTCCCAGTTCTTTAGTTAGTTGATGACGTCTCTTAAAGAAAAGCATAGCGGCAGCGGCAGAAATTAATATGGCCAACAGCATCGTTATCACAAGAGCCATAAACCATGTCTCGTGTACAACGGTTGTTGACTTACGTTGAGTGGTTGTAGTGGCTGCGTCATCTGGCATCCCAACACCGTTAGGATGATAACCAAAATGGCCACCATCGCCCGCCGTATGGCCGGTTATGCTACTATGTGAACCACTCGGATGCGGTGGATGAACCAAATGGGTGGGATCCATAAACAATGAAACCTACAAGAGTAACATGCAGAAAGTTTTTGCATTTCATTTATTTTGTTTAACGTAATTTAGCAGTTAACGAACTCTGCTCATACCAAAACTTGACCACCACCGTTCAAGAGCATGTGTTGTTCAAGCTACTTATGCAATATGCATTTATTTTGTTTTTTGTTTTTTTTTTTTGTTTCCTTTGTTTTTTGCGTTTTTAATAAACTGCATAAATTTTTATTCTTTTCCTCTTTTTGTTTTTTCATTTAAAAATTTATTATACAACACGTGTTACTTTTTAAAGTGTATTCATAATACATAAAAGTATACGAACGCGAGAGCAAGAGCTTTTCATATACAATATATCCGTTCTTTTGCTGTGCTCGTGAAGAGTTAGCTCTTATGCGGCAGATGGTCAAGTTGAATTTTGCAGAAACATGAGGTATATGATGTGCTTTAAACTTGTACAACGAACTTAAGTTTACTGCCTTGCACTCTCTCTCCTCTTCCCACTTATATACCCACTTATATATATATATATATATGCGGTACACATACCGGTTTCGAATAGGGCCCATCACCAGCTTTAGTAAATGAGTTCAATCTGACGTTGTAAGTGGCTCCAGTGGTGAGATTATTTAAAAGTACTGACGTAGTGGTTGCATTTAAAGTCATATTTGCCAAAACTTTTAACGTATTGCCAGCGGTTACCTAAACAACAACAACAATAATAATAATAATAATAATAAACAAAACGGGGAGGAAAATAGGAACAAAAAAAGGAAGAAAACAAAAATTAATGAAACAAAAAGTAATAAATGCATAAAATTCATATATTATTCTCGAACATTAATTACGAATGTATACCTAAGCTAGGTACATGCGTGGATGCGACTATGTTTACAATTCCATGAAAGCAAAAACTTAATTTACCTCAATTTTATAGCCCAACAAGTTGCCATTATGATGCTGAGGCGGGGGTGGTGACCATCTTACCCAACCGGCCGTTAAATTATACATTCCAATTTTGATGCTGTCAGGTGGCGCCGAGGGTACTAGGAATAAAATATAAAATTTAGGAAAATTTTTGAAAATTAAAAAAAAAAAAAAATCGAATAGGGTAGGAGAAAAGAAAACAATTTTGCATAATCGTCATCAAACAATGTTTTTGTTCATATGCAGAGAGGGAAAAAAATATTTGCTTAAACACACAAAAATATTTCCTCTATTTTCGCGTTTACCATTAAGCTTTATTTGTTTTGTTTTTCTTTTTTTTTCTTCTTTTTTCATCTACTAGACTAGCATACACATCCCTATGCGCCCACAGGTTTATACCTATGTTCTGTTACTCTGACATTCTGTTTTCGTTTCCGGACTATATGTCCTTTGCCAATTAAAATTTCAAATTAAACCTTTACGTATGCAGGTGTATATATATATATGTACATATGTATGCATGTAGGTATGTACGTAGGTGCGTGTGCTCATGTGTCAACGTAAACTAAATGTACAATCTTGTACGTATATATGTTTTAGTGATGAGCTGGTGCTTTACATAAAATATTTTCTCATGTTTTATATGAAAATTTTTTCCATCTCTCCGTACAATGCTTTGTTTTTTATGCATGCATACCATTTTTTTCTTGTCTTCTTTTAGTTTTGTGGTTTTTGTGGTCTTCGAAACGCCCGAAATAGTCACTGCAGGTGTGTGAGAGAAGCAGAGATAAATAACGAAAGTGGGAGAGAGACAGACAGACAGAGAGAGAGAGGGAGGGACTACGTTTGTTTATATTTTTTACATTTATTATTTAATTTGCATAAAAAGTTGTTGTTATTGTTTTTCAAATTTTTTTGTTTCTCTTATTTATTTCCCTTTTTCTTCCTTTCACCTTTCTTCTTCCTGATGAAACACAATTTAATATATTTTTATTCACAGAGCTTGCTTTCTTTCCGCTTACAATTTTGTAACCCAAAGGATTTATGGGAAAACTGTTAAACGGTAGCAATTATGAGGTTTACCTTCGGTTTAAGTTTTAAACTTAATTTCATAATGGAGACACAATAGGAAAGAATCCCTCATTTAGTATGAAAATCTAAGTCTAGCAGGAATTTTATATACTAAGTAAACGTAAGCATTACATAGGATAGGATTTAAAAAAAAAAAAACAAGTAAGAAAGTTATATTTGGCGGAGCCGAGTCTCGCACTCCCATCACTATGCTTTTCGTATTATACTCTCCAAGCTCTTTTATCTGATACCCATATCGCTGGTATTATTAACAAAAAATTGATCCACAAGGTCGCGGTGTCTACCATAAGCAATTTAGAGTTAATCCATTTTTAGGCAGATAATATATATCTTCATTTGAGGAATGTACAAAATAGTTTCACATATTCTGATTTATTTACCTTATGTTAAATAAGAGTAAAATCTCAAAAAAAGTAAAGACAAGAAAATTTAATCACTCATAACTTTGTGAAGGCATGGCCGATTTTCTCCTTTTTCGAGTTGCGTTCAGTTTATGCTCGACTACGTGCTTCCGTTCTCGCCAATTTGGCCTATTTTCAATACCAACTTGCGAACAAAAACTTCCTATGTTTCCAACAAGTTTGAGGTGGGTGGATACCTTCATTTTTGCGAGCAGGAGAGGGCCAACAACAAACACCACACAAACAAACAGATGGACAGACATGGCTAAATCAGTTCAGAATTTGACGCTGATCAAGGACATATACACTTTATAGGCTCTCTGAAGTTTTCTTTTGAGTCTTACGTACATTATTAAAAAAGCAAAATGGGTATACGACTGTCTTACGGTGGTGGATATAATAATGAGAAATTTTTGTTCTAAATAGACGTTATACGTATGAGTACGACGAGTAGATTCGTCAATGACGGTTAACTTGTTAATCTTTAATATTTACTCAAGTGCTTGTCGGCTGATCAATTTAAAATTCATACTCGTAAAAACTTCTCAAACCTTTCTTGTAGATTTTATTTACCGTCTCTTTTGATTTAGAGTGACCTTTATTTGAGTGGTAGGTAAGTCACGCGCATGGAGCTTTGGCAGGGGTAATCCTTCTCTTGACCTTTAGAAATGCTTGAGCCTTATCTAACACGTCTTGATATAGTCATGAATGTAGAGTAACCTTCTTGACTCCTAAAAATACTTAACTCTTATGATCGATAATTAAGGAGTGAATGAGATCGGCGTCAATTGATCCACTAGTTTGACGTTTCTTCGTAGAGCTTGCTAACCAAAAGTTAAAGAATATCGTTTATAGTATTTATGTTAAAGAAAATTTTCTCAGAAATTAGAAGACGTCTACGTTTATATGTAAATAAACGAAACCAATTCTGCCTCCTGTCAAGGAACCTGCAAAAGATTGCTAGGTTCGGATAGACGTCGCCGTAGGTTAATGTCTGTGTTATTGAAATAATTGTAACCAAGTGTACATATAACATTTATAGCAGCTCCATAAATAATTAGAAAAATTAAAATGCATTTCCATTTTTAATCATTAGCCAGTTCGCAGAGCTTCGTTTCAAGAAGAAAGTAAACAAAAAAGTAATAAAATAAGTAATTAATATGTGTTTTGAATGTAAAACTTGAATCGTTTTGTGTTATTATTGAATGAGAAAATTATTGTTACAGAAGAATACCGTGAAGCGAACGACTAAATACTGGTTCGCGAAGTCGAAATACTCGGTAACAACGAAACATACGAGCAAGTTAATCTTAAGAACAACAACATATCGAAGTGAATCAATTATGTGCCCTATATTTTGGGAAACGCATGGTATTTTCTTCATCGACTAGTTTGAAAAACAGAGAACATGTGACAACTTTAGTTTGAAAGTGCGACCCGAAATCGAAGTCGACAGCTATAATGCCAAAGTTGCATGGATCGAAGTTCGAATTCGTACTTCACATACCCTATACTCCTTATCAAACCTCGTGCAAATCATAACACTTCTTAAATCTGAAAAGTATGTTAGTATACGAGAATGACTTGTAAAAAATGATAAGGTTATTGTGAAAACCAAAGCATAGCAAGTCCTATAAAATAGTCATTGAAAATTTAGAGGATCATTTTACTACTTCTGATGCAAACTAAGTTGAAACAACATTTTTTATTTGTATTTAGCCGCGGAAATTACTGACCAACGTAATATATGCTTTTTTCTGTACATTTACTGCATGCAACTGATTGTTTAAAATGTACTCCACGCCCATTCTTCGTCTACAGTTATCGTTAAATAAAACAAGGAACAGGTAAGCGTACCCTTTAAGTATAACCCTTCATGTTCGCCATCTCAGATGAAAACATTTGACATATTAAGCGCATTAATTGGTAGTACGAATTATTCTCATCGGGCATAAAATCAATATCTTTTACATATTACAAGTTGGATATTGCAAGCGTCGATTAATATTTGTAACGCGATAGCAGCATGACGACCATGAAGAACTCAACAATGGGCGATAACGGACGAACAACTTCTTCATGTAATTAAGAAAATACTATCTTACCATTCTAACTATTACAAGTCTTATCTTTAAAAAAGAGGGGAGAAAAACGAGAACGACATAATTTATTTCACTTACCATCTTCATAAGTTTGTACAATTTTCGAGTTGCTCGGCTGACCTTCTAACGTTTGATAGAAAGGCGCCAAAAAGAATTCATACTTAGTATATTTCTTCAGATTGGCAACCACATGCGATTCAATTGATGGGTTTAAAACCGTCATTATATTGTACTGTTGAGAATTGGCGCTAACATCGCGATAGCGTACATAGAGACCCTGTAACAAAATGTAAATAATGCCTTAATAAGTCTGATATCATAATTAACATTTCTTTAACGAATGTCAGTGAAGTGATTAAAATAGCAATGCACACGAAAAATCCAATTAAATTTCTCCACCTTTACGTGTCATACAAAATGCAGAAAGCAAAAAAAACAAAAACTCAAAAACATGCATTATGTTCACTGCCATATGCAAGCAATAAAAGATGAAGCAGTATGAGATAAATACGTACCTCAACATATTTTTCGGTAACACTGACATGCATAACCCAATCCAAACGTACGGCTGTGGAATTTATGGCCGCGGCATCGATTAATTCAACAACCTGATGATGTAAAAGTTTCGAAGGGACCGAAGGATATGAAATGAAATTAAAGGTAAAGAAAACTTGAATATTTGCGCTAGTGCCCATCAGATATAATGAAATTTCTCTCTTGTTGATGTTATTTTAAATGAAAAATTTTTCTCAAAAAAAAATTACCTTAAAATGCATTAATTTTACACTAAAGCTATTATTGGGAAACACATCCTGGTCATGTGCAAGAGTAAGATATTCCTATAAAGGTTTAAGGTTTATGTACAAGTTTAACACAACAATGAATTTCTATAGCATACTTTCAAGCATGTATTTACTTCGATTGTTTCAAAACCCGGTAATTAATAATAAAATTATCATCATTTCGTATATAAACTACTAGTGGTGCGAGAATAAACACAAAAAAAAAAAATACAAAAAGAAAGAGAAACAATAATAATAATAATGAAAACAATAAATCAGAAAAATTTTGTTGAGATGTTGCCAACAACAACTGCACCAACAATAGCGACTTTATCAACGACGCAACATTAATGTTTGTGGCCTCAGTCTGCAGGTTTTCAGCTCAAACGTCATATTTTTCAATATTGATTTTATTTTAATATCTTCATACACATAAAGCCTCGTGCATGTAGCTACATATATACATGTGTATGAATACGCGTATCGGCTGTTGTGAGCATTAAAAAAGCAAAGTGTTGAAGGTATATGTGAATGTAAACCATGCGATATGAGGGCGACTGCAATATAATGAAAAATTTTGTACTGTTTCTATGACATCATCGTATGATTGTGTTGGTGTGCGTAAGTGTTGTTGAGTGTTTGCCTGTGAGCAGTACAAGCTTTGTGTTATGTGTAAATGTACGATATATCGAATAATTTTTTTGCTTTTTTTTTTATTGTGGTTACAGTTGCGTTTATTATAACCACATATGTATATGAATACATTTTATGTTTTGCGTGTAAACAACACACATGTTACGCACATATGTGCGTACAGGTACAAGCACAAGCGAATGCAATCTTTCGCACGCAATCGTCTGCTTATGACAAAATGCGCCAAGTTAATTGAAAAGTTCTTGGAGCACAGAAAGGAATAATACAAGTTGGCAAATTTTAAAAGTTTGTCGTGTTTCATATACACCTCGTGGAAGATTTTCCAGCTCGTCCGCACCAATGCTTAAGCTTTGAATAAAAAGTTGTGAACTTCATTTTCTAAGCGTGAAATATTTAAAACTGTTGAATGAGTAAATTGTTTGCACTTAAGAGTAACACAAATTAAGAAGACGGAAGATTTTTCCTTCAAACAACTTTTACTTACGTAGCTTTGTTTAAGAAAAAATTTTGCGGGTCAGCACATTTACCTTGCACGAGGCCTCTATATTTTCTAAAGGACATAAAGCGAAAGGAACTCATAAGCATTTTGGATAATGTTCGATATTACTTGCTAACAATATGTGGGTATTTTCGGCAAGAGTAAATTTTTATAACATAAGGTTTCATCCAAATCGAGATAGCAAAGCTAACTAAAAATAATTTTATGCCTTGATCACCTTCACTGAAACAAGGCAGTGACTGAAGAATCTAACTCGAAATTTTGCGTTAAACAAATATCGAAAAATAATGACTTGACTAAACAAAGAAATAGAGTTTTAATCGGTTGGAAGTGTAAATATAACCACTGCTTACTCAAAAATTGAAAGAACAGTTCACTGAAACCATGCTGCAACTGTAGCCCATCTTTTTTGCGAATCATTGATTTCGTCTCTGAAGAAATCCTGCTGTTTGGAGACGATGCACAAAAAGACTCGTATTTGGGCATTTGTGGAAGAACGGGTCGAGCAAGCAATAAATCATGTGTTGAAACCCATTCTGATCGCAATGACTACAGTCTCCTGATAGCAACGAGTGGGACAGGACATTTCAAATTCAAAACATTTCTTGAAAGAGTTTTGCTAAATGGTGCCGATTTTTGTCATAGTACAAACTAATGATGCTATGACTTTTGCCATTTAGTTCTCCTTTTTCGTCCCAGTTGTATCAGTCTGTTATTGGTAGTCTTCCCCGGTGATATTTGGGTAAAACAAATCACAATACACCTCGCCGAACGAATCCGCCCCAAATGTGACCGCTGTCGATGCATAGCTTTATCGTCGCTATTTTAGATATTGTGACGCAGCCGTTTTGCATTCGTAACTATTTAGCAGCACCATTCTTCGCATTAAACAGGGAAAATTATCGCATTTTTTCGTACAGCTTTTACGCCTATCCCATACACCAAGAGACTAAGTTTTAGACGCATCACTATGACAACGCATGCGCTTACACACAGCTTAAAAGGAGTACTTTCTGATGAAGAGTTTATATTATAGAGTTATTTAGCGCCTTACAGTACTATTCACTCTCTCCTTTAGAAAAAACGCGCACCTATTCACACATACAACACGACGGGGCCGAGTCTCGCACTCCCATCACTATGCTTTTCGTATTATACTCTCCAAGCTCTTTTATCTGATACCCATATCGTTGGTATTATTAACAAAAAATTGATCCACCAGGTCGCGGTGTCTACCATAAGCAATTTAGAGTTAATCCATTTTTAGGCAGATAATATATATCTTCATTTGAGGAATGTACAAAATAGTTTCACATATTCTGATTTATTTGCCTTATATTAAATAAGAGTAAAATCTCAAAAAAAGTGAAGACAAGAAAATTTAATCACTCATAACTTTGTGAAGGCATGGCCGATTTTCTCCATTTTCGAGTTGCGTTCAGTTTATGCTCGACTACGTGCTTCCGTTCTCGCCAATTTGGCCTAATTTCAATACCAACTTGCGAACAAAAACTTCCTATGTTTCCAACAAATTTGAGGTCGATACCTTCATTTTTGCGACCAGGAGAGGGCCAACGAAAAACACCACACAAACAACCAGATGGACAGACATGGCTAAATCAGTTCAGAATTTCACGCTGATCTACAATATACTTTATACGGTCTCTACAGCTTCCTTTGGGACTTACATACATTATGGAAAAAAGAAAAATGGATAAACCCTAATCTTACAGTGGTGGGCATAAAAAGTGTCTATCCGACATTCCGATCGCTCTCCACCTCAGAAATGAACGCAATCGAAGAGAACTTTTTTAAAGAATCTGAAAATGGAACACTGTGGGAAAGGAATAAACGATTCCAACAGTTATCCGAAGAAGGGACGTCAGCTCGAAGGAGCACTGACCAAAGATTAAAGCAATGTTGTCAACAGCATGGCTTCTTTGTCAAAATTTTAAAGAACTTAATATTGAATAGTTTAGAAAATATTGAATCCGAGCGATTTTTTTGCATGCAGATGTCTGTCGGTCAATTCGTTTTCATATGCGTTACGCTTTGAGAGTAGCTAACGCTATCTGCCTCTGTTATTAAGCTCATTACTTTCTCAACTAGATAATGTGTATGTAAAACGTGGGAGTTTATATGAACTTATACATATATAGTGCTCTCTTTTATTTCATATTCACTACACTTTGTTGTATTCAAAAATGTATACGTGTGTGATTGAGATATTTGTACTTAAATAATGTGCATGTGTGTTTTGCAGTCGAAAAGGGTATGTGTTTAGTTGATTCTGTATTTTGTATATGTGTACAGAAGTGAAATGCATATACAATGTAACAATGAGTATTGTTCTACATATGTATATTCATATATATCGTAACAAATATTTATTTTACACTTGAACAAACGGGTCAATACGACGTCATACCTCAATTACCGTTATCGTTAAGCTTTTAAATGTATTTACGAAAATCGTACTCGTACTCAGTTATACGCGTATATGAACACCCGCATACACTAATTTCACTTTATTACATCATTTCGATTCGCTCACCCAAATTCTACTCGCATACATCCACTCTGATGTGTTTTTTTTTTGCACATTTTCCGAATACGGATCAGTTTTCGTATTTCATTCATGTGCATTTAAATTGTGTATAAATTTTTAGTAAAAATTGCCATAAATTAGTATTCATATGTATATGTGTGCATGTATATATTAATGTATATGTATGTATGTATGTATGTATGTATATATCTATATACATGGTATATTTGATTTTCTTGTTATTATTTTTGTTGTAATTTCATGTAGAATATTTATTTGGCATATCAGCGCAATTTTTATTTATTTTTTTTCATATTTTATTTATTATTTTCCAACACAACATGAATATGTTCGGCGGCCATCGCTGTTGCTACATGTGAGGCATATAAAAGTGTCGCTACGTGTAAATAATTAAAGATGTGTGGCTGTTTGCCATCTCTGTTTCCCTTTCATTTTTCTACGTGCAAATATTTTGTTGATTTAAAACCTGCATCGAATCTGTAATCGAAGCTCCTAAATATTTATATTTCTTCAACTTTTGTTTAATTATTTAAGGGAATTTTTTGATTTATTTTTCATTTAGTAGATTATCTAAATCCACTTCGAAAATGTATCCTTAAAAAAAAACAGCTTGTAAAACACGTCGAACCGTTTCTAAACTTTCCACTAATTTTGTCCTTTCATGTACGACCCTCGAAAACTCTCATCATATACTTTGCTCTCTGCTCTGTTACATCTGCAAGTTCATCATAACTTCCATACGTGCAATTATCTATTCGTCTTGTTTACAAATCTATTCCCCATCACTTTCCTCTATCTGGACTAATGTCCATGCTGGAATGCATGTAACAGCTGCACAATGCCGCTGTACATCCCCATACATTTGCTGCATCTATCGAACGTCCGCTATATGATACGCTTCTATTTTGCTTGTACGTGTATTCCGTCCGAATTGATTGTGTTCATATCTTGCCTTTGTCGGCATTTCCGCTCGTTTCTTATTTCCACAGTGTTTGCACTATTAGTTTATCCACAGATATGGTCTTTCTACAAATCAAACCTTATCTGTCAGACCGTTTGACTTTTGAGTTTGCTTGATTCGTGCGTTAATTCTGAGACAATACG